AAGATAGTATCTTATAGGAAATTAACATTTTCTGCATGTAGCTTTTTTGAACATTTAGAAATTGAGCTTTTCTTATCAACTTTGCCCTCATGCATTTCTGTAGTGTGTGCGTGCATGTGTGTGTGTTTGTGTGCATGTGCTTATTTGTTAAACATTGGGCACGGGGTCTTTTAAATCAGTATGGAAAGGATCTGTGAGCTTCTTATTAGGTTAAGCAATATTTCCAACATTTTAGGCACTGCGATACTGTATATTTTAATTTTTTTTGGTGATAATTTGAACTGGTTTTCCTTAAAGTGCTGTATGCCATATTTTTGTTTCTATAAGGTATTTATTTTAGAATGATTTTAGAGCCTCAGCATAATCAGAAATGTATCACTGGTTTAGAGTCATGATAGTTACATTTGGTAAATTTCAGTTGTAGGAAATTCCATCAAAGTATTTGTCTATCCTTCCATAATGCAGCATTTATTCTGATCTGGCATTTAGGATGTAATTATTAAGGTAATGAAAATGCCTTATACCTTCTCAATGAAGGTTGCCACAGTTACCAGACTATTCTTTCACTCTTTCTGATATGCAAATGTATTTGTAGACCATAAGAAATGAAAGTATACATAGGAGGGTTGCAGTATAATTGCTCCTCTGCGAAGAACATTGTTAACAGCTCCCTGCCAGTTTTGAAGGTCATTGCCTCGTAAATGCAGATTTGGTCTACTCATCTGTTTTTCACTCATGTGTTTCATTTATGCATATATATATTTATTTACCACACTTATCACCTTACTTTGTTATTTAGGAGAAAATGGGGAAAATAAAAAATGAAAAGATACCTAATATCTTTGAACTCAATGTACCAAAGGAGTCATTTACATGCTTAGGCATGTAATATCATAAGGAATATATATATTTTTAAGAAATGGGATCTTGATATATTGCCCAGGCTGGACTTGAACTCCTGGGTTGACGTGATTATCTTGCTTCAGCTTCCCAAGTAGCTGGTACTACAGAAGTGTACCACCATGCCCATGCCCAGCTTATAAGGATTAGATTTTTAACTATCTTTCTTTTTTTTTTTTTTTTTT